AGATGCCAAGGAAATATCCAGGGTCTGGATCTCCAAGAACATCTTTCCTCTCTTTGAGAAAAGCATTTCCAACAAAATAATGTTATTTAAAAGGTTTATCGCACGTTGTTTGTATTTAGCTGCTTACATACGTGCATTCACTTACAATTTAAGCGTCTTTAAGATAATATCGTAAAATTGAATGAAATATAATAAAATATTTATTTCTTAAAATCCAAGCTTTACATAAGTTTCTGTGTAATGTACAATTGATAAATTATTAACATTATTTAAGGAAAATCCTTTGCCTATTTAAAAGTTGTCTATCTGCTCTTTGGTCTGGCTGAACTTATTTCTCCCAAGTGATCCCTCAATAAATGCAATAGTTTGGCTCCTTTTTCAATTTCCAGATATCTTCATAAGTTACAGTTCGACTGCCGAAACCGGATAAGAGCAGGCACCAGGGAAAGAGAAGACGGCGGCTGGGAGGTGTGCCTGGACCCGCCATACAATATGAAACGGGGAAAATGTTTAGTATACTCCTTTGGGTAAGTAGATATGGGTAGGACTTGTGTTACTTCTGGATTTTTATTTCTGCTACACCCATGTCAGTAATTTATGTCCGCCCATTATGAAGTCCTGTCGATGTATAGTAAGCTATAGATATGATAAAAATGATAATAATAATAATAACTTCGGAAGTCCGTCGTGCACGTATATTGGTAAAGCCCCCTTTACACTGGACGGCGTTTTTTGTGCGTCCAGCAGTACGGCCCCATTTGAGAGTTAAAAAATTATAATGCTTTACTTGCCGACAACTAGCCGATCATTGAGCATTCATTCTGTCACAAAATCAATGCTCGTGCCTCCTTATTAAGACCACAGCGATGCCAAATTTCATGGTCGCTGAAAGGACGCAGAAAGGACGCCGTCCAGTGTAAAGGGGGTATTAGCGTGTAAGACAGCCACTTAACTACTATATGATATTGATGTTACAGTTTTTTTTTTCACTCGAACAACACAGTCAAATCCCCCATACCAGTATACTTGTTACTCCACCCTCATCAGTATTTTATGTTCGGAAGGTAAGGCACCCGTTGGATATAGCGTTTGATGTGAAAATGACTTAAAGTAAGTTAAATACGGTGCAAAAATGATACTAACGCAGATGTAAATATTTGTTATTTCGTATCCAGCATCGCTGACAACTGGTCTTTTGACGACTACATGGGCAAGGCCAAAAATTGTACAGTGCACTGTTTCGATCCAAGGTAAGCACTATTCGAAATAAGCAAAATATTGGTACCTTTTGTTCATAAGCAGCGACGAATTTATCGGAGGGCGTAAAATAGGCATATTCTATTCCTTCGCTTCTGAGGAATGTAATACCCCCTGAGGAATGTAACACCCCCCTCCTCCAATAAAAAACGATAACAAATAACAAGTTAGACATGCGAGCAGTGAATATTTGCTTTTTGACTCAACTTGTTCATTCGTATTTCGGGACGATACTTAACCATCCCTTCATATCATTATCTCATTGTCACATGAATGTCCCCATTTAAATTTTTTTTCAGTATAGGATAGATGATTAATTCTTTAACAAGCCTCATTGAGCATAACACGAGAAAAAGTATCACAGTTTTCTCTCTTAACTTGTTTCCAGTATAGGAAAAAAGGACTTTAAGCGTTCCCCAAACATATATTTCCACAATCTGGGTATATCTGGAAGCAACGGAACCAATGAAAACATGTGGCAACTTTATACGCTTGGATCCATAAAGCGACTTCTTGGACATGAGAACGTACGTCACATACTGGTAAAATTGTTTCAGACTTTCTATTATTAGGGGGAGGGGGGTGTTAATACCGATGCTAAAGGGGTTTTGTGGTTTGAGGGTCGATTCACTCGCCTTTTTGTGTATGTAAACAATCTGTTGCTCTCTCCTTCTGTATGTGTACATCTATCTTGTCCATTTCTTTCTTTCTTTTTTTAGATGATACTTATTAGCTATATATTTATTTAAGGTGACACTGGACTACCTGAAAATGGACGTTGAATTGAGCGAATGGCCAAGTTTACAGGCAATGTACCGCGAGGGTGTGTTATCCCAAGTCAAACAGTTTGCTTTAGAGTTTCATGACATCCCTAAAAAACAGGCAGATGTCGATATCATCAACAGACTGTACGAACTCGGGTTCAGGATATTCTACACCAAAAGGAACTTCTATAATCGAGCAAAATCGCGACTAACAAAGCGCACTGTTTATATGTGCATGGAGGTGCATTTTGTAAATATAAACTTTCTGAAGCAGGACGAACAAAGCGGACACCGCCAGTGATTCTTATATAGGCACAGAAAGGATATTTTTTCCTGTTCCGTGGTAAAGACAGTCCTCAGTGCCATCTAGTTATATAAATCTTAATGTAGCAAGCTATATTAAAAATAAGAGGATAATTTTTCATTACAATAAAGTCACAAATTAGGTCGGACTTATGTTTGGGGGGATATCATTAGTCCTGTACTGCTGGTTAAGCCATATGGTTAAATCAAAACGGCTGATATATATATATATATATGTTATACATTATGTGGTAGGTTTTATCTTGGATTTGAATGAATAAAATTTAAATATTATACGATCACTATGTGTATAGGTAAATTTCCGTTTCACTGAAATAGCATTTCTCAAAATAGGCCATTAATCAGTTAAAGGTGCTCTCTGCGGGATTAACCCGCCATAAATTTTCCTGAGCTAAATCAATCAATCAATCATATCGACCGATATCGACCATCAACGGCATCAACTAAGCAACTTTCATAAATATTATAAATATAAATTAAGGGGGTAAAGAGCATATCTTTCCTACTCGCGAATCATTGCAATATTTTATTCAATTTTGAATTCAATACCTTAGTTGTAAATGACTGGCGAGTCATACTGAACAAAATCTACCATAACTGATCTTCTCAGGACAGGGCCTAGTTTTTCACACAAGAAATGGCGTGGTGTCTTGTATCGCGGCCTGTGTCGTGTCAAATACAGGCGTTGCGAGCTAAGATTTTAATATCTGAGCCCTTTTCTTAATTGAAATAGTGACACACAAGGGCAAAAATAAAATCTTTAAAAAGTTACTACATTAAATTGCTAATTTGTCTTTTACATTATATGCCATGAGCGAGGATCCAGCACAAATGACACATGTTACCTTATATACATAAATGCACCTATAAATATATACTTGTAGGGTCACTGACATTTCGTGATGATGCGGTTGAATTTTAATGGGCCAAATACGTCATGATACAATGCATTGCACGTGACCAAGGAACACTTCACTAACAGGTGTGACTTCCCGTGGGGGTTTGAGGTCGTTTTTCCTCTTTTTTTATCTGCTCAAAAGGTGCAATCGTTAACACTAAGATTTTTTTTGCGGGTCTCGATGCAGATGTTTTTTGTTTTTACGCTGTTCAGCAACTGGAAATCATTGATTCAATATTCTGGTGGGCCCTTTATTCTCTCTCTCTCTCTCTCTCTCTCTTTCTCTCTCATAAACACACACACACCCGAGCGTGCGTACACGCATTTAACATTCACTTATGAAATATGTCAAAAGCTGAACGGTGGGTCAAAACAACACATTAGCTTTCTGACTCGTGGCATGTAGGCGTGCCTACCTTTCTTATTAATAGTATGTAGGCGTATCTATCGTCAACAGAAGTAATAATTATATTCCGGGTCACGAAATTTCACTTACACACCACTCTGCTTTAGCCCGTTTGCCGCACTTTAAACACATTTTGCCCATCCTAATGGTCAAGATGTTTGACAATGGTCAGTAGGAATGTCAGAGAAAGTGTTCTTTTGTGACCAGATCATCCCTTTGTTCTAATGTATACAATTAAAACGACATATACTTCTTATGTAATGCACACTGCAATAGAAATGTAGCCCAAAATTGCTTTAATTTGTTGCTTTGAGCACTTAAGAAGAATTTACCCATGGGTAATGAAATGCGACAGTCATGCATGGGTAATGAAATGCGCCAGTCATGATACAAATAAATAAAATAAACAGATAAGGATACATGTAGTAAAATAATGGAAAATAAATATTAATTTGATTTGATTGTAAGTTTATATGCTCGTTTCGTGGTCCATTCATTTACTTATTTTCTGTGGGTCATCTATTCATTTGCTGTAAACCTCAAAGCGAGAGAGAGAGAGAGAGTAGATGAACACAAGACAAATAAACAATGCACTATGTCTATCAAATACGGAAGTGACAGCTAAATTGCTATAGCACCCTCTTCCCATTCGAAAATATCAATTTCCTAACCCTCCTTTATGAGAATTTGCTCTGTCAATCCATTATTTTCCATTTCCTAAACTAATATCGCTTTATGTTGAAAACAGCTACGGGCATTAATATAAACATCTAGCACTTCCCCGACAGTGGCATCTCACTTTGTTATGTTGTTTTGACATGCGAAATGTTTGAGATATTCCGGAACCTATAGATTAATGTAATCTAAGTTCAGTGCCTACATGTGTAGTAAATGACTCAAGCAACTGCATTTTTCAATTAAAATACGTACAAGGTACAAGTTGTTTCTATAAATTATATGTTGCTAATACTTCTTTGCATAAACTAGATGTTACATGTATATATATATATGGAATACAAACAAAAAAGGAAAATAAAATAAAAATGAAATAAAAATAAAAAAATTTAAAAAAAATAAAAAGAAGATGCAAGGGTTAGAAATGGTATATTTTCTTGGTCAAAAGGGAAGGCGCAAAACGTATGTATATGTATTTACCTTACAATCTTGTTTTAAATTTGGGATACTAATTAAGTAAAAGAAAGGCACATTATAGCTAACATCAACGGGACCCTGACAACTGAACGATTAAACAAGTTTTAAATTGACGTAGGAAGACCCATCCCCTTTTTAGATCCGCTTCCTGGCGGCATTGAATTAATATCCTATTATATATCATTCTAAATATACGCTGCGAAGCCGGTAGTCAATCGTATAAAAGCCGACTATATGCGGTTTAGTGCATCAAACTCCACAGTGCTGAACATATAGTCAAAACTGAACTTGAAGGTAGGTTGGGATTCTGTTAACTCAAACCAGTGTGATGTCCTATGATATAGGCAAATAACGACGTTACAACGCAGTATACGTAAAGAAAGAAACTGGATGTTGAATTGTATCTATAGTAGCTAGCATAAGGTCTTTTTGGAGAGATGGTCCGAACATTTATAGCTAGCTTTTTCATCCACTGTGTCTGTATTAAATGGAATTCTAGTTCCAAATTTACTCAAGGTTAATTACGGCGACTCGTTTTATGTCGTTTTTATGGAAATTGCATTGCGTTGCATAGTTTGCATTCACGACCGCAGCTAAGTTAAGGCTAACGGGACGCTTGCCTTGCCAACTTCCCACAGACCTCTTTAAGGGGTAAAGTAAAGTAATTTTAGAGGGTGGTCCTAGGTCTCATCCTATTGAAACTGTTGGTCTACGTACATACATGTAGATCCAAGGTTTGTTATGGACATGTCAGCAAAGGTGACTACCTTATAAAGGGACGGGGTTCCAAGCGATTTAATACATTTTCAACTCTGCTATTTGCTGCAGATCACTCTCGTTGAACTAAAACAACGCCATCTTAATTTTTAGCATTTATTTTTCAAGGTAAGACGCGGGGCAGTGGTTTTATCGGAAATCCGGGTGAACAAATATAAACAAGTGGAAGCTAAGACACCGCCGTCATCATGGTTGCTGTGGCTAATGTGTTTGGATTGGCGCTACTCTTAATTCTCTCCACTGCCGGCCCCGTATCGGGATGTGAGTTGTAATTGTTATCGTATAAACACGAGAACATTGCTAGATTATTGTGCAGTTTAAATTAATTTACTTGGAATTTCCAACTACCCCTCCCACAGCAGCATATACTGCAAACTAAGCTGCTTCATTCTATTATTTATGAACAAACATTGGTGAATAATCTTCTTTTGAGAATGTACAAGGTACATCAATTTCAAAGCCGTTCACAGCATTACTGCATGTACCTATAAACTTCCTTTTGAGTTCTAAGTTTCTAATTTTTACATCACCCTCATAATGGAGATTAAGACGTAAGTTTATTTATACCCATTTTAGGGTGTTTTAAGCATTATAATTTCCAATGTGCATTATGATATTCAGTTCTAGGAAGCGGTGGTATCATTGACATCATCATAGACAGAGTTACATCTAAGTGTCCGGACTACCCTGATTATCCAGACGTAAGTGATTTCCCCCTCACCCTCTCTCTCTCTCTCTCTCTCTCTCTCTCTCTCTCTCCATCAATTGTCAGAGTGATGCAACTCGTGGATAAGTAGGAATAAGCACGCTGTAGTAATGAATAGCTTCATTTTATTATATTTTTATATAAAAACAACCGCGGGCTCTTTTTATCATTTTCCGTATAATATACAAAATGGAGTATAGAAATACACCGCTTTATTCTCGACTTCAGATATGTGACCTGAAACCGCAAGTCCAGCGTCTACAGCGCGAGGTTAAGTGAGTATTTTGATTGCACTTGTGACATTATGGTACACGCACGTTTTAACTGCTCAGCATTTAATACTTATTCGTTTTATTATTCAATTCAATTCAATTCAATTAAAAACCAATAAAAACTCCATTGCTAGGGCACCTTTTTTAAAACAAAGCGTGGGATACCATAAATATAATTTATTGGGCACAATAAAAGGATTAATGTGGGATGAGATTATCAATGTTAGCCAAGCTTCCCAGGGAGCTTGGCTCTTATAAAACAAGCTCCAGATGTTTCTTCCCTAATTTCAGTCAGGATGTCTCCTCTTTAATTTTCACACTAAGACTTAATTACTTCCAAGAGGCACTTGTGCAATTAGTTACCGTTACAAAAAAACCGTAAATATATAATCACCTTGTATTCTATTGTTATATCTTAGCCATTGCATTTGTATTATTATTATTATTATTATTAATAATAATAATAATAATAATAACGTATTATTTTCAGCTCCCTCGCGGCGAAGAGGAGCTCTGTATACAACAACTGTAAGGACATGCGGAACAGGTTGGTCAGTCTCCAGTCCGATGTGGCCGCAGTCGCCGATGCTTTCAAGGAGCTGACATTTGAAGTATACCAACTCCTCACCATCGCAAGGCTGAGATCTTCCTATGGCTCCTTCTCCGGTAGGTGGCGTTTGGTATGGGTGGCGGCAGGAGGGCGTATCTTGGGAATGTGTGCAGATGGCCCTTTTACAGATTCACAAACAAATGAAGTTATCTCCTCATTCCCACAGAATATTTTTGATTTATATAAACTTGCTTTGCGTTTAATAGATTAGCAGAGAGTACTCGATTGTGGCAATTTGTCTAAGTTGTCTTTCACAGGCGCAAAAGAGCAAGTTATTTGACAAAAATGTATTGGTCTTTCATTACTTTAAGTATCATTTATACTTTGATATTTATTTAAGCAACGAGCTTAACGTTATCCTATTTCACGCTTCTATTTTGCTTTCTTAAATTAGGTGTGAACCAGACCATTGACATAAAAGATCTCGAGGTCCTTAAAACTGAGCTAGACGACATAAAGAACAAGGTAGATACAGGTTTAGAAGGAATAGTGAACCAGCTCTTGGAGAGAGAGGTGGAAAATCTGCTGTCCACGTTGCCCGTACCCGTGCCTTTCTCCGGGGGCGATATCCTGGACCTGCTTGGCATTGGGAGCAACAAGAGAAAACAGCGCGAGTACGAGAACAAGTTAAAGTCCGCCAAGTCGACTTTGGAAGAAGCTAAAAAGATGGTTGATCACAGTTTGCGTCGCATTGAGGCCGACTGCGCAAAGATCCAATCGGCTTGGCCGGAATTGCAGAAACGCGTTACCTCTGCCTTCCGTAACGTCTTTAAGGTCACAGTCGATCTTGGCAACGCCTTTCCCGGCTTGAAGGTACAGTTAAGTGACCTCCGTAACAAAATGTGTACGCGAAGCAAGAGAAGCATCGCCGATCTAATCCGAAACAAAATTCGCTCCGGACTTAAACGCCTACCAGACCTTAGTAGGCTAGCAGCGTCCTTTAAGCCACAACCAGGAGGAAGACTCCAACCACTTTCAAACTTTGCCCTCTCCCTTCAGTTTGCTCAGACCCAAAAATGCTTGGAAGACAACCACGGTTTGTCTGGCCCTTACTCCAACGAGAGAGTCTCTGGCATATCCTCTGCCTTGCGGGGCTTGAAAAATTACCTAAACACCGATTTCCATAACAAGGTCAACGGAGCTTTGGAAGACATCTTGGGCCCTTTTACCAAGGAACAGCTGCCGAAACTGATTGGGATTGCCGACAGGATTGTCAAACTAATGAAGGTCAACTCCACCCTCGATGCCATATTAAGCCGAGTCAGTCCTCTCGACAACAGTTTCACGACAACCGACGCTATACGCATGATATCGGGGCTTTTTCCGCAACAGAAATGCTATCTCATCTATCCACTGAGCTTTGCTCGGTCTGGGGCCAGCCACCCTACCTATACAGTCCCGACAACAGACAAGCTGTTCGAAATACGTAACGACTTGGTGGATTTGCTGGACATGGCGGGCGGGGATTGCAATGCAGTGCCGGCTGCTAGAGAGTTCATTGGTAGACGCCATACCATGTCGGACGGTTTGTTCAACTATCTCGTCAAGTCCTCCCATCCTGAATGGGACTGTGTCACAGTGAGTGGCGACGTCTGTTGAGTAACCCGTGTTTTTTATGTTAAAATCAAATTTACCCCTACACACAAAAAATCAAATGGTTTTGAATTATTTCACAAGTAATGTACAGGTACAAGTTTTACACTTTTTTATTTTGGAAATAACAATGGTATTTATATTTCAGTTATGTGTTATATAACTGCCGAAAGGCACTGTTAGTATGCGCATACACATAATGGAAAATAATCAGATTCTAAAGAAGTGCTGAAACCAAAGAGGGTATGATAAAAATTATAAGGAAAAAATACAGTTTGAGTGATATTCTTTTTTACCGTGCTACCAAAGTTTTTTTAAAATGATATATAGCTTCAGTAATGGTCACAATATATTAAGCAAAAGCCATACTAAGTTCATACCTTTACACGTTACTTGTGTTTTTTTTATAGCAATGCATTTACGACAGATTATCATCTGATAAGTGAATAAATCATAAATTGCATATATCCTATCACATCTCGTCTGTTACTTTCATATAGGTGAATAAAATCAAACTTCGGCGTATTGGGGGAGGGGAGCATTGGGTGGTGTTTACCTTTAAGACATATTTCATTATACATTTAGCGTTTGCTCTTCCTTATTTTAAAATCTTTACCACAAGTTTGACTATGGAAAAGCAAAATGCGCAGTAATTTTACTTTTATTTAACAGAGAATCTTTCAGAGACCGTTATTCATGGACATACCTGAGAAAATGCATACCTTCACATTTGTTCCTAACATAAAGGGTATATGATGATGTATTTTTCAACTCCAACACGATTTACTTTGTCAACCGACATTCGATATCCTTTAACCTTTCACAATTGCAAGGCTTAAATGCGTTGTTTTTTTTAGTTCAAAAGCTTCTACTCCTGAAGGAGAGGGTTAAATATGGGTGACTGTATATAGGCGCGTTTTATTTTATTTTTTGATGTTAAGTCCAGAAGGCCGCGTGTCGCCGATAATTTATTCACATGTCCCTTTGCAGGTTCACATACACACGATGTTATTTCCTTATTTCCAGAAAACAGTATTATTATCTATGTAAACGTCACTCACAATAAATACCGGATACAATAAAACTACCATATTAATGCTACATGCCATGTACATAAATTTATCGTATTGATAGAAAGTAACAAAAGACACGTCATGCAAGTGAGGTATTATTTTATTTCTTAAGTATCACCGGTTAATCTAAAACCTCAGTTCTTTCCAAGAGATATACCGAGTTACTACATGTAGATTGACACGTTGGCGGTCAACAGAGGCGGCAGCTTTTCTTGCAGTTCTGGGACATGTAGGTGTAGTTCCTGGTGCACTCTCCAGTATCTGACCAGTACTGGCAGTTTGTGCTTTGGTCTGCGCAACTTCCTGTGTGTCCTACCGAACCTGACGAATAAATACTGTACATGTATTAAATTAACCTAACAAATAAATGCATGAACTTAGCATGCACTAAAGGGAAAAGGAATTAGGAAGGTCTAAACAGAAGTATACAGTTTTGAATATGGTGGCTGTGGCCTTGTCTCTTTTAAGATTAATAAAAATTACAGAGTGAGAAAAGCAGAGACATCTACTTATAATAAAGGTACGTTTATACACTTATCTGGGCGATACACTTACCCGGGTTGGTTACACAAATAATGATAATATTGCATATATAGAAATACGGACAAATAATTAAAAGAGCATTGTAGCATTCTTTTCCAAAAATATTTTTATTTTGCTAGCATAGAGTGAGAAAAGCAGAGATATCTACTGATAATAAAGGTACGTTTATACATTTATCTCCGAAATTCTGGGCGATGATCCCGGGTTGGTTACACAAATAATGATAATATTGCTGATACAAATGATCCTACCTGTACCTGAACATTGGTTGCAGCTTTTCTTGCAGTTCTTCAGCATATAGGCGGCGTTCTGAGTACACTGCCCTGTCTCTGACCAGTACTTGCAGTGTTGGCTCTGGTCTGAGCAGCTGCCAGATTGAGTACCTAAACACAATGACTCTCTAAACACAATGACTCTCTAAACATAATGATTCTCTACAAGCATACTCAGTCCCTGAACGCAACACATCGAGTCCCTAAAAACAAAAACACAAACCATCTAAACACAAACACATTGACTCCTAATAAACACAAACATATCGAGTCCCTAAACACAAATGCATTAATTCCCTACTCACAAACACATGCAGTCGCCAAACACAAACACATCGAGTCTATAAACACAAACATATATTGACATCTTTTAAGAACACGAACACATTGACTCTAAACACGCACAGATTGAGCCCTATAAACACGAATGCACTCAGTCTACTTAGTGAATAATAAATCTATGAACAAAAATAGAAATAGAAAAAAAATAGAAATGGAAATGGAAATATTGAGAAAATAAAGTTAAAAAACGTCGTTTTTGAAAGGGGTATGGGTCTACCAATTTGTCCTTTAAAGATGGATGCCGACTACTGTAGCTGTAAAACGATGCCAAGCAATGTAGTGCAATTGTCGTGTGTGTGTGTGTGTGTGTGTGTGTGTGTGTGTGTGTGCGCGCGCCCGCGTGCGTGCTTCTAATTACCCTGGCCTCCAGCTGAGCAGAGATTACAACTCTTCTTGCAGTTCTGAGACATGTAGGCTTGGTTTTTGGAACACTCTCCGGTCTGAGACCAGTACTGGCAGCTGGCACTCTGGTCAACACAGCTGCCCCCTGTACCGGTACCTAATCAACACAAATAGCACGGTTTATTCAAAGTAATTTTATTCTTCAGAGATGTACCTACAGTATGTATATACCGGGGGGTGGGGTACTTACATATAGGTATTAAAAATTAAAATAGAGCGCTTCTTATGGTTTTATTTTCCAAACTCTAACCAACTTTCTTGCAGCAAACGCATTGGCAGACAATACGTTACACCGAGATATATGTCTTTGTTGTTTCTACTGAAAATAAAACTTAAAGTTGTACCTGTTCCAGTCCCAGTTCCGGCGTTGGTTCCGGTTCCGGTTCCTGTTCCAGTTCCAGTCCCTCCTGACCCGGCACAATTCATTCTCAACTGTTGAGCATGCTCCTGAGCTGAAATGCGATCAAATAAATTGTTTCAGAAATTATTTAGATGCGGATTATGGTGAATAACCATGCAGTTATGTCGGGATAGAAAGTAAAGGTTTTAAACGGTCAACGGAAATTGCATTGATCCTTGATCAGTTGGCATGATAAAAGGAAAGGTACACAGAAAAATGAATCAACAAGCAAATAAAAATACGCAAAATTGAAAAAAATAATAGGATATAATGCTTAAACCAGTAAAAAAATGTAGATGAATAAACGAATATACCGGCATAGAAATAGACACAGGGAAACAACCCAATGCAAACAAACATACATAATAACACATTATTCATTGAACAAACGGATATATAAAACCTCTGCATGTAAAGAAATCAACAGTTCAGGAATAAAACACCTACACCGTAGAGTTTGGCTATTGCCGCATCTGGTGATGTAGTTGTTGTTACAGGGGAAGATTTCCTGGATCAGGGCGTATATGGCAGGATCGTAGGTCCTCAGCTTGTCTCTTGTGCTGACAGGACCGTGGATGCCGTTCACAGTGTCTCGGTGGGTGTTGGCGTTGAAATAACTTTGTACGGCCTCAGCCTTTGCAGAAGGGAAAAAGCCAATTATATATAAATGGTACTGTCCTAGAAAATCTTGGTTGTTGGATGTTTAATATAGTTACAATAATCGCTGTGGTATCATCATCATCATCATCATAATAGGAATCGCCTTAATTTTGATAATAAACATTTAGAAAGCGTCACTTGCATAGGAGACGCCAACATGATCGCCTACATAATTTTCTAACTCAGTGGATACTGATACCTACCCAGTACTCGACCTCGTCAGTACCGGCATACGTGTTGGCCCACAGACCACGTGATATGGCACTGCTGTACGCGCTTTTCAAGCGAGCCTCAAACCCTGGCACAGCAAAGTATGCCCCGAGACTCTGCAGGGCATGGGAGTACTCGTGCAGTGCAATGTCCTCGTTGGGGTCGTAGGTGTCGGTAGAGTAACAGAGAGCGTTTTCTTCCGCGCAGGTCGCAACGGGTGCCGTCAAAGTGGCGCCGAGGCCACGTGCTCGAGTGTCCCAAAATGGATCCAAGTACGCATGCTCAGGGATACTTCGGGTGACTTCGTTCTGGCCATACACGGCGAAACGACCGAAGTGTTTGTAGTAGGAGCGACGGACGTCTTGTCTGTCGGCGAACAAGAATCTTACGACATAACACGCGCGTTTGACCGCATCTTCCGGCACATGCACAGAACCTGCCAGGATTAGAGCAGCATGAAGCTGTTTTATCAAAAGGAAATACATGTATAAGCATTGTTTTGTAAAATGGAAAAGTAAAGTTAGTCAACCTTTATAAACTTTATCAAAGGTGGGAGCCAACTGCAGGCAGGGTTGGTAAATGATTCGTAAGTACCAGAAAATTGCTCGTTTTCCCGGGAAAATCAGTCTCGGCAGGTAAATCGGATGGAGTGTACCTTTAATACAACAAACTTATCGTTTATAATGCCAAAGCAGGGTAAAAATCATATAATCACAAATGCAGGGTAAAGATTCATTGTGAAAATCTGATTCTCAAAATATCTAAAAGTTGTGAACTATAAAAACAAGGAGTCTATTTTTCAAAAATTTTAATCATAAAATTGTATCGTCCATCAAAACAATTAGGAACAATAACATACAATGTTCAACTCCCTACCTAATATTGGTATCCCGTACGCCTCAGTGTACTTCTGATAGTACGTGCTAAGGCCGTTAGGGCCCATAATGGCTGCACTGCGGAGGTCATTGGGGACAGATCGAACGCTCCAACAGCTGTGGGAATTCGTGGGGGACCCAGGCCTTTCGCTGCCTCGTGACGTCAGCATTCTCATGAACACAGACGAAGATACTGGTACAGCTAGGTGATAACATTGGAAAATAATGTGAGTCAATAATGATGAAGGGAAAGTTTGATTTTGCTTTGATCCAGGGTTTGTTTGATGACCGTGTTTAGCTATTATTTTGCCGACTTGATCTCATTTGGGCACGCAAAGATATGCTTTGTATCTATATATCTACACACAGTGAAACTAAATTCATCATTACTACCTTAGACCCAATGAGGTTGAATAAAATTATTGATGAGGGAACGTGGGCTGCCCACGTAGGACACTTGCACGTTATAGGGGGATAACGACGAGAGAACTTTAATTAATGGAATTAAAAACAATATTAATGGAATCAAAAACAATAATTAATGGAATTAAAAACAATATTCATTTATACTCATTTATAGTACATATTGTAAAGACATTTGCTTTGCTCTTGTTATTACTCAAGGATAAGAAGGAGGGTTGATGTTTAGAGTAATAGTTTAAAAATAAATAAAAATGTAAGTATTTATAATAACAGAATGGGCACATGACACGGCCCACATGCAATGAAACCCGTGTCTTCAATGGACTCGTGTTTCCTCACACCTTTACAAATCGGCGACAAGATTACACTAACGATTTTCAAAACAGTTGCGACAAGAACTGCACCGTCACTTCTTAACACATTTCATGAAATATTGGAAGCAGAATATGGTTCCGTTTCATAATGAAACTTTAGTCTAGAGTCGGCGCGCTTTTTATGTCTACGACAATTTAGCCGTAACCGAAAGTCTTCAATGAATATTGAAAACTAACAAAAGGGATATTTCAGATCTCTTCTGCCCTCTTTTGAACTGTTTCGCGTGTTTAAGGCTAAGAAATGAAGTAATTTTTTTGTGAATTATCGATATCCACTCACCCACGACACTCAGCAGCAAGCATGCCAGCGATGTCAAGAACCATGCCATGGTGTCGTTTATTCCTCCACTGACCCTTTAGGTGTTCTTTCTGGACACCAGAGCTCTTTTATACAGAAACACACGGGTAATCTAAATCCACCGTCGTCTACGGTCTCTCCGTTAGCTACGTACCACCCCATATGACATTTTTCTCACACGTTCTTAACGTCTGCCACGGTAAGATCGTGTGTCACAAATTAGGTCGTAACTAAAGGATCAAAAAGCTAGAAATATTAATACCACACAAACTTTTATTCACTTTTTACTTTTATTCACATTCTTGATACATGACAAAATGTGTGCATTACTTTACAATTGCAAGTACATTTGAAAATATTCAAGCCAGGCGAGAATTAAAAAACAACGGCTTTGAATGTCCCTAACGTATTCGGCCTTCACATTCGACGTTTTTAAGTTGATTTGTTCTACAAATTACGTCACGTGCCCACTTGGCAAAATTTGGAAAATGCTGTTCCAATTTTAATTATGTACCAGGCTACTAAAACACTGTCCATCAACTACCAGACAGAACCGTTGAGAACCGTGAAAACCGCTGTGACCACGCTCCTACATCAACAGTCACGTAATCAAAGAAGGTAGATCTAAACTTTATAAATTACAGAAACTGAACTTTATATCGGGAAGATTGTCATCAGCATTGCCGGCAGCTTCTCCTACAGTTGGCCAGCATGTACCTAGGGTTGCGTGTACACTCCCCGCGTCTGGACCAGGATGCACAGAACATGTTCCTGTCCACACAGTTGGTGCCTCCTCCTCCTCCCCCTCCTCCTGGAAGAACAGGAATTCAAGAAAAAAATGTTTATTTTTATACATGCATATATCGAACACAGTTGTTCAAATGTTACAGGAAATTGGTCCATTAAGTGTTGATATACTTTAAAAGCAGTGACAGGTGCTTATATTAAGTATGTAGACAGATAGCGAAAACGTGTAGTCTTCACCTAACGTTCAACCCAAAATTACAATCCGGCATAAGCTATAGTGCCAGTACCGCCATTATATAAAAAGAACTCCTGTAATACAAGGCCCTGTTCCCATAATTACCAGTATGTGCAGATAAACCGCCCTAAAATTTGATCACGCTTACCTGTATGAATTTAATGGAGGGTGGGTCACTGGATTTACTGCACATGGCAGAGAGTATAATAAGAAAATATGCTTTTATTACCAGCTGAATATTTACCTGAACACTGGCGACAGCTCTTCCGGCAGTTGACCAGCATGTACCTCGGGTTCTTGTCGCACTCTCCTCTTCCCGCCCAGCCAGCACAGCGGTTGTCATTGTCCGTACAGTCTGGAATGATACATGGTCAAATACTACTGTAGGTGTATCGACTTTGGCGGCATTTGATAACTGTACTTTACGTTGCCAGACAATCAGGTAAATGTAACTGCACAAACAAAAAAGGAAAAATAAAAGTACCGTATATGTAGATCTACATGTAAAATTAATATATCCTTTTCGTTGGCCATAACAAACCTGAAGAAAAAAATACACACAAATGCATGTATTTTAAACCACACTTACTGCCTCCGCCAGTTCCTCCTCCGGTTCCCCCACCGGTTCCCCCTCCAGTTCCACCTCCGGTTCCCCCACCGGTTCCACCTCCGGTCCCCCCACCGGTTCCCCCTCCAGTTCCACCACCGGTTCCACCACCAGTCCCTCCGCCTCCGTTTGAATCACAATTTAAACGAAGTTGCTGTGCTCTTTCTTTTGCTGTAAAATGAAAAAGGCTGTGAAATGTGATTGCAATATAAAAAGCAAATATGCTCCTGTAAATAATAAGCTATTAGGATCTACTGCCGTGATTTACTCAAATATTTTAAATGGATATCTGATCACAGAAAAATGCTGAATACATGACTAAAATTCTACTATCCTGCAGATTACTTCACAATTTCTTTTTGACAGAGGTGTCCCCTTGCCAGATTTACTGCAGAAGCAACATCAGCAGAAATAATATTAAAAAATACTAGTACGTGCTGTTACATCGTACGCATGCAAATAAATAGCCTTACTTTGCCGTATATATTGCCAGTAGTTTATATTAGCACTAATTCGTGTCGGAATTTAATTGCCTTAAATCCAAAAGTGTGCTGTTTTAAAAGAGTTTGGGTTATTCTCATTGCTGTAAATGTACTGTACTAATTACTACGAAAACTCACCGTATATTTCCTGTCTGTTCCCGCACCGTTTGATGTACGTGTTGCCACATGGGTACACCTCCCTGATGATATTATACAGGGCCGGATCGTAGTTCTGGAGCTTAGACCTCGTGTTAATGGGACCATGGACGCCATTAGGGGTCGCGGAGAAGTCGTTGACGTTAAAGTAACTTTGGACCCCTTCCGCCTGTTAAAATAGTTCGTAACACATAAATATGGTGTTATGTGATAAATAACAGTGAAAGGTACACAAAAGTGTACCGATATGAGCTATGATGTGACAAAGAACTATATTCTAAAACGAATCTCTAAAGATAAGAATATAGTAACTAGTTATTATACTCACTCAATAATAATTTTAAATTGTTTCATATTGAAGAAAAAGCCAAGCTGGATTTTTTTAATAACTGCGCTTAGATACCATTCCCACAGATTTTTGGATCGATCTATCTCCCTGGGGAGGCTCACTAAATTGCAATCAACTCAACCGGCTTAAATGTCTGTCACGCCTATATAGTAAAGCTGTTAGGGGGTAATTATCTTTACCCTAGCTGATTCGGTAGGCGTGACAGACATTTAAGCCTCTTGAGCTGGTAGTAATTTAGCGTGAACCCCCAAGGAGTTGGTCGATCCATCCAGATGGATCGATCTAAGTGTGGGAACCCAGTCTTAGATAAACCCACTCACCCAGTATTCCTCCTTCGTGCTCAGAGAGTATGTGCCCCTCCAGAGTCCTCGGCTACGTGCGCTGCTGTACAGCCCCGCCAACCTCCTCTCGAAACCTCTAATGGCGTACTTGGCTCCCAGAATATGGACGCCGTGGGAGAACTCGTGGAGAGCGATGTCCTCACGGTACCGGTCGCCAGTCTCGCACAGCACGTTCTCTTCCGCTCCCGTCGAAACTGGCGCAGACTCAGTAGCTCCTAGGCCACGTGCTCTTTGGTTCCAGAACCCGGGTTCCAGGAAAGAGTGTTCTGGGATATTGGTGGTTACCTGAAGGTCAATAACATCAAGGTTAACTTCTGGATAATGTTTAAATCTCAACACGCAATTTTTATTAACGTACGTAATTTAGCATCAAAAGGAAGGATTTATTATACACTAGCTTTCTTAAAGAAAAAAAGATGAAACATGAAAAAAAATATATATAAGTCTTTACCTCTCTTCGTCCCATGATGGCAAACCGTCCGTAACGCTTGTAGTACGAGTTACGGACGTCATATCTGTCAGCCAGTAAGAACCTCACAGTGTAGCACGCCCGCTTCAGTGCGTCGTCGCTAAGGTAACGAGACCCTACGGTGATCAAACAGAGAAACTTACGAGAATTCCAATTTCATGAAAATGTAAACAATTTAGAATTGCTGACGCGATTTTCATTTGTTTGCTTCATATTGGTCAGTCGTGAATGAAATAGAAACAGCTGAAGAAGGGGAGGAGAAAAAACTTATAAAAAAGTGAGACAAAAGAAAAAAGAGAAAAAGAAAGAAAGAATAAGTTAAGGAGTAAAATAAGCAATCAGAAATAAAAGAAATGAGTTACACAAAGAATAAAAATAAAACAGGGAGATGGACAGGGAAAAAAGGCAGAAAGACAAAAACATTAACAAAGTACCAGCCGAAAACAAATAGAGGCGGAAACCTACCTAAGACCGGGATGCCGTACGCCTCTGTATATTTTTGATAAAAGTATCCCAGTCCATTGGGATACATGTTAGTTCTACTGCGCAGACTCTGCGGAACTCCCCGGATGGAGTCACAACTGTGAGTATTGCTGGCTTGGCCAGGGCGCCCCCCTGCCGCCATTACACCCTCCATCATCGTCTCATTGTATTCTTCAACTGGAAAATATGAACGCATCGAATAAACATGATCTTTTCCTGAAGATAATGATCACATTATAGTTTTATTAAAATTGATTTAAAGAGGAGATTAGATTCTAACAAAGCAGAAACGCCAATTTGAAAATCACTTCTGGTGGTAATTGCAATTATTGTCTACAATTGAAATATGCAAAAGGCCTGGCTGCGGAGATTGCGCATTACACGCAGAGGTTTGGGATGTAGGGAGAGGGGGAAAACGACAAGTGTGCATACAGCCTATCAATCCGTAACAGCGACATTCCAAGAATTCAGAAAACTGATTTTGTGCCAACATATCAAATAGTGATAAATAAAGGCATACTGTATAAGAGTATAACACTTACCATATAACTTGAGGTACAAGTAGGTAGAATTAATGTCGTTAATTGGTGCTTGGGTAACTACGGCGTCCTCCTGCTGGACTGAACCTGAATAATATTTATTTAATAATTTATCTATTTATTTATTTATTTAGTTAGTTAGTTAGGCGTCCGTATAGTGCATTATTCCTTATCTATATGGTGAAGTAGCAACATTTGTTTTGTTGCAAGCAAAAAAAGTTTTTTAGTTTCATTACCGAACTGTGCTAGCCTTTTTACTTCTAAATTTATTGGCAGTTTGTTTCTAGACCTATGGAATGCATAACAAGGTACAAAATTGAAACACAGGTGCGTCACACATGTCAATAATTGGACTTAGTAGTTACATTCCCTGTTGCAACGTGTAAATGAAATAAAATAAAGTTTTAAATAGCCATTGTTATATATAATACGTTCTTTAATAATTTAATATGGAAGTACTCACGTTTTGCACAAGACACCAAAATAAAAGCGACAAACAGCTTCATGCAACCACCGGCCATCCTCATCTTTAAAACCCGGTGGTAACTCTTCAACAACGGCAATAATCTGCTGTCCAGCAGCGCTGACCGTCTTTTATACTGCTCGCTCAGCTGCCAGGCATGAGTTTGCAGTTTATTCCCCCAAATTACTGGCAGCCGTGGAGTGGGAGGAAATAAACCACTTGCACGTGCGTGAGTAATCACGGTCCAATCACTTCGTGTTTCCGGTATAGAGCAGTGTGCAGACGCTCGCAAAACTGATGATGTAATAAGTGTGGTAATAAAAAAATTCTGGGCGGTCGTGCAGGTCTTAAATTCATGCTGCACTTGGACAATATTCTAACTAGATTGATTCTACCACTATCTTTTACGCAATTTCAACATTAGTTTGGTAAGAATTAAATCCACGACTAGGAAGCTAATAATGGAAAACACACCGTCTGTATTTCCACCGTCAACGAACGCCATTTAAAAGTTAAATAAACTTAAAATAACATAAAACGTTAGCATAAAATTCGACAATTTCATGAGGTGCTAGTGCATGTTTTTTAAAAAATATTTTGATAGGTTCAGATTTGAAACAAGCATTTGGTTAGAATGCATATATAGAAATACGGACAAATAATTAAAAGAGCATTGTAGCATTCTTTTACAAAAATATTTTTATTTTGCTAGCATAGATCACACAGATAAACTAAAAAAATCAGTAACTGCATCGGCACACATGGGCATTTCTCTCCCATTCTTGTAGGATGTTTTATTTCCTACTAGCGTCATTTTGTTTTGATAGTCTACGCGATACTGCAACACGCGTCTCTATCGTTTGTTATCTTAACCCGTCATCGGCAGGGTGCACGCGAAGGGTGTTACAATGTACATGTATGCGTACTCCCTAGAACGTCAAAAGCCCACGCTTTTATTTTGCTTTTATTTCGTAATGATGACTTATTATTTATCACCACGTACAACGATCTTTTCAACCCTCTTCAATCAAAATTGTTTCATACAGGTGCATGTGTCAAGCCACGTTAACTGTATAGATATCTTACGCCGTATATGGATATGCCGCCTACGAAGGCAAACATGTGACGAAAAGACGTGACGTAAATACCAGGGTGTGGCTAGACCCCGTCCATTTTAAACCGAAAATAGGTCTAAGCTTCGTCATCAGACTATCACATGCACTGCAGGTCCTTTTTTGTCTCCATGTTTTAATCTGTTTTATCAGTCTAGTCTTACGATGACTAAGGTCAGTTCAGTAGCTGTGAAATCGCTCACCCGTGGACAACGCACTGCGTGACTGTAACCATTGATGTTCAGTGCAGATGCCCTTTTATGGACCAGCGAGAAGTTTCTTGTCATAATCATAACTCTAAAGATCGTGATGAATTATCGTGATCACCATCGCAGTGTACACTGGTGATGATATTTAGTCACGTACGCTAGTACCTCATTTATCGACAAAAAAGTGTGATTAACTCCGGACTGACTCTGCATTTTCTTAAGATTAACCCATTTGTTCCAATCATCCCTTTAACGCCGATTATTGTCTGGAAATTGTGTTCGTTTTTAATGACAGGGGTCAAACGACGTGGGATGATCTGTCCTAAAACGCAGACACCTAACATGTAGTCTCAGTTTTGCTGTGATAAAATAAACCTGCTGTTGTACGTTGAATAACCTCGGTATATGTGCTAGGGCTACAGCGCATAAAACCACAGCAGCTACACCAGAATTCGCATAAATTTGATCCCGAAAATTATGAAAGTTTGAGTAACCCAAAAATACGTGCTAGGTTATGTTTACACTTATTTTAGCTAATACTCAAGAAAAAATGTGCATCAGATTTGCTCCAGGTATGAAGACATGACTTGCACGGTGTCTATTATGTAGTGCGCTTTTTTTTTTTTTTTTTTTTTTTTTTTTTTGTGAAATTTAATCAGTGGTTGACATATTGTTAGATACCCCTGTTCACGGATGTTGAGCATCTATTTCGACTGTTTACACGGGTTGCGGTTTAAAGGATGTGAATAATTTTTAAAGACAATGACACTGCATTTCTCAGCTAACGCACTTGTTACACTGACCATCAATAATATAACCAGATCCCGGATGTTAGGATTTGGGGGGGGGGGAGTAAGGGGGGGCTTACAGAGCATGTCGACAACGGGTTCTTAGTCTCAATTCCCTGCAATATTTCCCATCTTGATGAACTAATAATAATAATAATAATAATAATAATAATAATAATGAAGAAGAAGAAGAAAATATAAAATAACCACGAGTGAATATCTAAAAATACTTGACCCTTACTCGACCCCTGATAATCTCTCCGGTCACTCCGACACGGCCGTCGAAACAACGTATTGACATAAGGAATCGATACATCGATATCTATCGCAATCAAAGACACGCTGCCTGCCACGGTAGTCGAAGTCACAGGTAATGAACTGCCTTCCTGTGGGGGATTGATCGAGGTACGAATGAGAACTGCACATAACAGATAGACCTCTTCTCATTGTAAAAGGTGTTTGTAGTGAGGCTTTCCTGCAGTAATGTAAAGGGTTGTATGATGGGAATCTGAATACTAACATTTGTATTATTCTTAACCTAGTTTCTTCTTCTCTTATAGAGGAGATTTAATTTTTATGATATGCAGGTTTGAGGTTTTTTTCCCAATAGTATTGATTTGTGACAATTTGTACTTTTTCTTTATATGAATTATTTTTGTTTTTTTTTCTTTCCTCATATTTTCAAATTTGACATTATTTTGCTTCCATTAATCTTTCTTTCTTTTTTTACTCTCACAAACACAGCCATTACCGTTTAGACCTGTCGTAACTGAGAAAACTATCCCAGGTCACTTAAAGGTCGAAAGTTTTTACTTAAAGAAGCGACCTTATAGCAAGCTTCACACCACCATATTTCCACTGTGTACACAATATTAACTATTAATATATCCAAAGTCTCGGTCTATTCGCTCAGCTTTGGTGGCATTTCTTTCGGAACAATCAGATTTGTCAAGTTGATTTCAAACAAAGGGTTTATTGGCATTACAATTAATGATATTATGCTGGCGGTTTAATAATTAAAAGAAATCGGTAGATACCGGTGGAGAGGCGGTATGGTATTGATATACCAGTGATACCGGCTACTGGTGGGGACCATTTCAAAATATAACAATTATAGTAATTACATATGATATGATCTTAAATATATATACATCATGTACTAGTCAGTATTTATCCAAACAAAGTAATAGGGTTATTAGTAATAAATGTATACTTATTAAGTGAGAGAATTATTAATTTATTATTAATTAATTTATTCATAATAATGGATGATGAGATCAAATTAATTAATTAATTTATTTATTCATAATAATGGATGATGAGATCAATAATATAATATCTTTTAAGTTATAATTGACAAAATGTATTGCTGCGATAATTGCCCCATTTTCATTTGGAAACCACACTTTTATCTATTTCATTTTCCACGTCACCAACTTATTTTCTTTCCTGCTCATAAATCTCACTTTCAGTCGGTTATGCCATCTCATTATATACATTAATTGTAACAAGATCGAGGCGACGATTCGGAGACCGACTGCATGGAGCGATCTTTCCCTTTGAAAAGCATAGTCTACATCTGACACGCTCCCTTGTTTTGTTAGCGTTATGGATACTCCAATAAAGAAAAAAATCAATGTGACTAGCTGCCGTCCCGCTTGTGTAGGTTGAACCGCTCAGTAGGACAGGGATTACAGTCGGGAGATTTGGAATTATGTATTCTGTCCCTTGAACTGAACGGTAAGCTTCTTTTTTGGTATCATTTGTGTGATAATTCTTCAACACAATTTCGTGGCAACACAACTTCTCGTTGGTTACATTAGTACAGTTCTTAAAATTGATTTAAGACGAATTTCGTACTGTGTAGTATGTATTTAGTTTCGCAGTCACTTTAAACTGATAATTATCAGAAATTTTTCAGAAATATCGTATATTAAGGGAAAACAAAACGTCAGTTCCTTACAACAAAGTAAACTGACAATCAAAGACATTTCATTTTCTTTAAATATAGATGGTTGTTCGTTTTTTATAGTTCGTTTTATTTATAATTCGATTTTTCTTTATTCCATCTTTTCTTGAACTAGTATTATGCTAAAAATAATCTGAACCGTTTATTCTTTCTATTTCATTTTTTAATATTGATTCGAGAACGCTTTTGCATTTTTCAAGGATACACAGATAAAAAGCATTTACACGTTTTGTCAAACGATTCTCATCTACGTTTTGTCTGTTTTGCTCTTAAAATACCTGAAGTGTCCCAGCTTGTTTCTGGGGAAGGGTTTCCTAGAGACTGTCACTTGATACAAAAGCCAAACACGTGTGGTCAGCTCACAATGTTATTATTTTTTTTATTTAATATTATCCAATATTTTCCATTATAATTTCTGTTAATAGTGGTTAAGATTATTGCTTTTTTTATTGCTGTTTTATTACACTGGTCATGATACCATCCACGCTACGGGTACGGGCAGGCGAAATTTACGAATTGTTTTATAATTTTATTATTGTATAATTTTCATCTTTTATTCTCCTCAGCCACGTCTCCCGTGAATCTCGATGGCGGCTGCGGTGGCCGCTAAGCACCAGGCCTACAGGAGTCTGCGGGAACTCCCCGTCAACGTGTACTTCGGAGATGATGAACAGTATGACACCGACCTTGACACTGAGCACGTGCTGGCTGAACAAGGTATGTGAACGCGTGTCGGATGAACTTTGGTCATTCTGAAAACTGTCTCCGACATTCTAATATTGTACAGAGAGTATATATCATTATCAAGTTTGTAGAGCAAATTCTATGACGTAAAGGTCGGGGTGCATTTTAATTTTGGTCAAACTTTTGATGAAAATGAAACACTCGTCTTTCCTACTTACACACTACGCGTATCTAATATCTCGGATTTTGTCTCCTTTTTTACAGAAATTCCCAAGGTAGACGACTCCTACATCGGGGCCAGCAGGTATACAGCAGCATGCAAGTTCCACGAGATCATACCTCAGTCCAAGATCCTGGACAGCCTGCCGGGGACGGTGATAAACATACGGAACCGCACCCTGGGGTCCAAGCATATCAAGGCGTTAGCAGAGGCGCTGAAGGTGGGTAAAAAGCTTTCAAGTGTGTTTAAGCAGACGCACGCGCAAACAGGCGCATTTCATCTCTCTAACTACTCCCAAACACGTACAAAAATAATTTAAGCTGCTTTAATAGTAAACACATAAAGAGACGAAGACTGATAAGATATTCTTTGGAAGGATTATCAGTTAAATCAAGTTTTATTTGCTAAATCTAAAGATTTTATATCTTTTCTGTTTTTACTGAAGCCCTACCACTGGAGTCGATTCTTATTTTTTAGAAAATTATTTCCATGAATTTCCATGCATCCCTTTTTTTATTTCTGGTAAGAATTGTAGGCCTGACATTGGAATTGAGTCTTAAGTTTACAAATCTTTAGATATGAAATTATTTCACCATTTCGCTCCCATCTATTCACTTGCGGATCACCATTTTGCCCTAAGAACAAACAGACGATCACTGATAAACCGCCATGTTGTTTTACTTTTCAAGACAAATAGGCCGACAAGTGCGCGTTGATTAATATTTCAAATTCCCCCTTTAACGTGTCGTATCAAATTTGCGACCGTTGTTTAAATCTCTTTGCCTATTTCTTTCAACATGTTTACCTTAGATTGTATGTCAAGATCTATAAATAATCATCTTCATTCTGATGTTAGTTTTTAATCCATTTCATCAGTTTGCCTAATGGATATTACGTTGATGAAATGCATTATTTATAAGCACACTTAACAGGTAAACTGGAAGGCTTTTGTCATAACTGTAACTTAAAGGTTGATGTAAGAGCCATGAAAACACTCTGGAAACAAAAGTCCACATACGCCCTAATCGCTGTAAAAATACTGAATACTTTTTTTAAAAAAAGTCGATGATCTTTCATACAGCGCACACTAGTGATAACGGTAATAAGTGCAGTCATAACAGCTGTCCAAAAAGGAAATATTCGAAATCAGAAATTATTTATATGTTTTCTGAACAATGGCACAGTGTTATACAGCCGCTTTTCATAAAATCCATCACTGCATCAGATTAGGCTATACCAGGGGCGGATCCAGAATTATATGAAGGGGGGGTCTGCGGTTGCGACGCCGACCCCCCTACCTTGGCATGGGGAAAATTTTGATTTTTGTAGAGGGCGAACGGTGTCGTTTGGTACGTTTTAGTACTCTGTCCAGCTAGTCAAAATTCTAATTTCAAGAGGGGGCCATTGGTGTGAGTTTTTTTCAGAAGTCGAAGGGGGGGGGGGGGGGGTCAGGACTCCCCTGACACCCCCCTAAATACGCCACCGTATACTGATTTTTAAATTCTTCTTGTTTCAGTACGATGATCATGGTAAAGCGGTTGTTTTGAGCACAAATCATTTGCAGCCCTGATAAACGTAAAAATCTTCTTGTTTACGACTGATCGACCATTGTGATGATATTAAGTAGTGTTTTCGATAAACCAATTACATTAACGAGCGTAAACACGATTTGACATATAAACACCTGTTGCAAAAAGGGTCACATCTAATTGAAGTACTTTCGGTCTTTATCGGAAAAAAGTACAGTCCTAGGTCAATCCGCTACAAAGATTACAATCGAAATACCTGACACCTTTTTTCTAGATTTTTCTAGATAGAATTTTTCTAGATGAAGCGGGATTTTTATCCAAACATGGTGTCATTCTATCATTTATGTACTCTTACTGCGACGTTATCTTTAAATTATTTTTTATTAAATATCCCTTCAGAAAAGGACGCTGTGAAAATACTAGTTTCTTTTTTTATATTTAATCTTATTTTGTGTGTGTGTGTGGGGGGGGGGGGGGGTAAGGGTTTGGGGAGGTAAAAGTTTATCATAAAATGCATTTTAGGTCTTTTAATTGTAGGATTTCCTTCTTTTGTTTCTTATTCTTAATAATCCTCTTCCTCCTGTTTCAGAAAAACACGACCGTTCAGGTGCTGATATTAGAAGGTAATACCATGGAAGGCGAGGGGATCCAGGAAGTCTGCGAGATGCTCACAGAAAACGACTTCATCACGGAAGTGGTCAGTACACGAAATTGTCGAGGGATAAGTCATGTAATACCAAACCCAATATAGAGGTGTAAATGGGGTCACAGGCATGTTCTTAAAGATATTTAGTGCACAGATTTTCAGTATGTTTGATTATTTCTGGGTCCCACATGAAGAAGTTTGTATCAAAGTTTCACTGTCCTGGAATCATGAATAAGAAAAAAATAATAATAATTCATTGTCTAGCCCCAAAAAAGGAGCATACGTTTAGAGATTTAAATCCGTAGCTTTCACTCTTTTCTCTATCATATTTTGCTTTGGAATTAGATATGCATTTGGCTTATTGTTAAGATGAGGTGTATGTCTATGTAATAACAAAAGTGAAAAGATTGGAAACAGTCAATTCAAAGATGGCCATGTTTGCTGATCGAGTCGTTAAATCCATATTTCATAAAAAATGTATGCCGTATAGACGTAACCTTTGCCAAACGCTAGAACAATATAAAACCAATGCCTTTTTATTAAGAAGAACAGTAGCGTTAAGTAAACATTTGGAATTCAATACTAATTGATTAACTGAAGGTAGGGCATTGTTGGAGGTGGGCAAGATTTCAGTTTATGCAATCAGGAGTGCATTAATCCCAGTTTAAAAAACACCCTGTTATTATTGAAAACACAAATTATGGGGGTAAATTTCGGTCGGATATGTTTTAATTGAGCTTCAGTTACTTTCGATGACTGTTTCAAATAAAGCGGAAAAATATCAGTAACAACAAATATCAATAAAAACGAAAAGAATAAAGTTGTCAATATGTTTTATGCAATTTGGTCTACCGAAGCACTCGACGTATTCAATATACGTGACAATTGGATTAAAATATTTATGGAAAGACTATTTTAATTTCTATCGCTTTTGTGCAACACGCGTGTTTCCATAAGTCACAGGCTGGCTGTGTTAATAACAGCGGGATTGTATCACTGACGTGGTCTTTTACAAATGAATGCAATGACAGAAGGCTGATAAAGATTTATCGAACAAAAATAATTGCGGCAAAATATATAATTTTATTTCATTCTATATGCACATGTACGTTATTTATAACATTTATATCCCCGTTTTACACAAAGGCATACCTTGCACAGTCGACCCTAAACGAAATTGTGTGTGTGTAAGTGTGTGTGCGCGTGTGTGTGCGTACACGCGTGCATGCATGTGCGTGTGCGTGTGTCTGTGTGTGAACACCCCAGTGCCTATGTTCAATCATTCACTCCACTTGTTGTCGCAATTATAAAGAAAAGAAGTTTTACTTTTTTTCAGAACTTGAGTCGAAACCGTCTTGGCAGTCGGCATTCCCTGCTCAATGGTCCATACTATATCAGTGATATGATGAGAAAGAACAACACCCTCACCCATCTGGATCTCTCCTATAACGACCTCACCGAGAACGACGCCATGTTTATAGCGTTTGGGATGGAGGTGTGTATAGAACTAGTACTGCAGTGGATATAATGATATGAGAGATGAGATGTGACTTGGGTCTCACTGTTCCTTCACCCCACCCCCTCTCTCTCTCTCTCTCTCTCTCTCTCTCACACACACACACACACACACAGAGGCCAGGCCCGTAGCCAAGGGGTTCGGGAGGTTCGAAAGAAGCCCCCTTTTTTGCTGGGAAAAGGTCCCCTCTGGGTAAAATAACTCTCCCTTTTGAAATTGCTGGCTACGGGCCTGCACACACACACACACACACACACACACACACACATCTCTCTCTCTCTCTCTCTCTCTCTCTCTCTCTCTCTCACGCACACTTTCTCTGTCACAAACACTTTCTACGCAAATATGATGAAAAAAGTCAAAGCATTGTAAATTGTTAAGCACCCAACGACCACCCAACGTGAATGAATCGATACAAATGAAGATATTCCGTTGTAATTTATATATGACGTCCTGACAAAGCGGTGCATTGCATGTCAATACATTTATTATTTAGCCTGTTGTCAAAGTACGTTGTTTTTGTGCAAGTTAATATATCTTTTTTGTGGAAATGCCTTTTATCTCAAATACATTTCATCTATTGGAGATAGTGGGGATATTGTCATCATAAAAGCGAAAGAGAGCACAAAAGAACATATATTGTTTTTTCAACATCACTGACATATAATCTAAGAACTTTATTATTTGTTGCAAATAGATGCAGTGTTAAATGGAGACATTCTGAATTTTTGTGTGGTAAATACGGAATAATTATCAATTACAACACGAAGCAATTATATCTTCTACCCTTTGTCAGAAAGCATCTTTTCTGAAATTCCATCAAAACATTTCTTTTTGAATCTTTCAGGGAAACTTTAGAATATCGCATTTAAACCTCAGCCATAATGACTTCGAGGAAGGCGGCGCTCAGTATATTGGAAAAGCGCTCAGTAAGTTATGATTTGATTTTTTTTTAAGTTAAAACTTAAATTAAGACTTGAAACATAGAATACTATTCTTTGTATGCAGCACGGGTTTTTGTGAATAGATTTTCTTAAAAGAACATTTATTCTATATGGTAGGGCAGTCGGATTGCTTTAGGAAGAGCTAGTCACGTTTGATAGCGTAAAATTCGCTCGCGTCATCTTAAAAATTAACAAGTTTTATAACATTGTGGAGTAGAGCCACTTTTCAAAATTCATTTAAATTTGACAGTGTAGATTAACTTACTTCGTCTTTAAATACATGTCATGCTTTTTGTTATTTCAGTGGAAAATCGCTCAATAGAAACGCTCAACCTCAGTTGGAATCATATCAGGAGAAAAGGTGCTGTTATTATTGCGCGTGCGTTACAGGTGAGATGGCGCAGTAATATAACTGTTGGACACGTAGACTTACACGTACTGCTTGTTGATCCAAATGCTTTAGTGACACTGACCGGGCTAGGAGGGAAGGGGTTAAGATATCAAATGCATTTATTAAGTAACGGTAGTGATATAAGTAAATATAGAGGAGTGGGTTTGGTGGGGTAAAGATGTTGAATATTAAGAAAAAGTGGTAGATGAAAGCAAATAAATGAATGGGACTGTTAATGAAATTCAATGTGGTACACGCACGGCACACTAACTCAAAAAATTAATAAGAAGAATGTTGAATATATAAATAAAATAATAAATGGTAGATGGAATAATTTGGAATAAAGTAAAAAATGAAGCATACTCAAATTTCTTAATAAAACTGACAAAATGTATTTATCTCTACATTCTTCAGTCAAACAAAAATCTGACCCACGTGGATCTCTCGTGGAATGGGTTCGGTTACGAAGGTGCTTTGGCTCTGGGTCAAGCCCTGAAGCGGAACAAGTATATGAAAGAGCTGGATATCACCAATAACAGGATCAACTGGGCCGGGGCGCAGTTCCTGGCCAACGGCATTAAGAAGAACGAAACCTTGGAGACGCTCAGGGTGAGTGGCTGCCAGAATGACCTGGTGAACCGTCTTTTTTTTTTTTTTTTTTTTTTTTTTACAAAAGCCGAACAAGTTAATTTCCTTGTACATAAACGACAAATTTAATTCTGTATAATAATTATATGCAATATATACATTTCTGAATTATAATTCACATATAGTTAAAAATAGGTACCCGCCACTGAGTTATAATTGAATTAATATGCGTTCATCACGCTTTATGAGGAAAATTATCCAAGTCGTCCAGGTAAGACCCTGGCGCTACGTCAAAAAACAACGCACGCCTATTAAAAGCCATCTGTCGAAGGTCAGTTGCTGGGGTGATTACAGTAATGTTTTTATTCAAGGCCCATCTGATTATTGTCGTAGATGTGTCTGTGCGGAACAGCCTCGCAGCAATTTTAATCATTTCACTGCTCAGAACGAGTTCTTTTAATTTTTGGGGACCGAAGAAGTTGCGCGCCATGAAACGCATGCCGTGCTGGTTGCAGAAATCCCTCAACTCCGTGTTGCGATAAGTAATATCGAACTTAGCGTGGACAACTGAAACCCGGATTTTGGCCGAAGCAACCAGCCGTTGTACTTGTGAAATCTTAAAACCGCTAAGCCCAAGAGAACGAATAGTTCCAGCGTCGTGAAGTTCTTCTAATATTTCCCAACCACCTGGGCGCGCTTCACATCCTTCCTGATCTTTGTCACATATCGGCGCTCGAAAAAGAACCAAATCCACGTAGTCTGTCTTTAGTCTCTCCATTGATCTTTTGATCGATTTTCTAACGGCGTCTCCTTCCAAAGTGGAGTCAAGTTTGACAACTACGAAAACGTCTTCACGTTTGCAGTGTTGGTTATCAGCTAAAATTGACCCCAAAGCGTCTTCGCTGTCGTCGTCTGGGTCCGTGAGGAAAAGTCTGGAGATTGGAAAAAACATGACAAAATCTAAGTCAAAAAGATTTTTTAAATGAAACAAAAACCAATCAATATAAAAAAACATTTTACAGGATAAAATTTAGAACGTAAAGCAACCGTCTTCGGCGGACATATCACCTTTATATGTCTTGGTTTGGGGTAAAAAAAATCCATAAATATAAGCAGAGTAAATTAACGCACACGAGATAGTTTAAGGCATTTGGTGATAATCATATTTTCAAAAGGTGATGAATTATCCGCCTTACCTGTATCCGAGCAGCAAGGCGTGCCGTACAGTCGTCCCTAACTGTTCTTTACCTAGCCTCGTGAGGCTTAAACCCTGGACCGGCACTGTGGAATAGATAAAAATTAAACATCTCATTTTGGGGGAAATACATGATAATCTCAAATCTACGAGTTTGATGGGGATAAAAGTGCACACATACGTACACTCATACAAAGAAGCGACCACACCGAGGAAATAGTGACTTTCTTATGATGTTTACAACATTATTGTCTGCTATCTTCTGATAAAATAGGGCTGCACATGAAATGTATCTACACAATATGTTGATAACATACAAAACATCAAAGTCACTGGCTGTGAAAATACTTAGGGCAGCTACTATATATATATATATATATATATATATATATATATATATATATATATAAGGTGGTTATTTAGTCCTCCTGTGGTACTCATCTAATCGCTGACTGAAAGGACAGCGAGTGATCGACAGCAAGGAAAGCAAAAGGAAAGCATAAAATCTAATACAGACAGATGGCTTCTAATAATTGAAAAGGAAAGCATAAAATCTAATAAAGACATCATAAAAATGATTTTTAAACTCCCTTCCCGAAGCCTACCACCCTGAACAAGTCGTCTTTGCTTTGCTCTTGTATACCAAAAACAGTAAGTTTATATGTTCACGTACTGCTATGTCCACTCTGTAACAGCGTCGTGACCGATGTTTTCATCTCTGTCTGTTTTTCTTCATGAATCAGAAGTCGGGGATAGATGTCTTTGTACTTCTCCACCACTGCGCTGTATGGAATGTTGTCAGTTCTTTCGTTGCAAGTTATCTCTGGAATATATTGATAAATGACGGGTTTTTAAAAGAAATTAATGAACTTTAAATATATCAAAAATAAGTTGTTAGGCGTGCCCAAGAGTCACTGAGAGTGGGTATGAGAGGGCTTACATACCACAAACGGTCCTCTTCACTTACGTTTTTCCCCATAATATTTGAACTGAAGTTGACGGTTTTTATCTAACGAGTTTAAATATTTTTTCACTTCATTAATGATCCTTCTTTCAAAAAAAAAAAAAAAAAAAAAAAAAAAAAAAGAGAGAGAGAGAGAGAGAGAGAGAGAGAGAGAGAGAGACGTGTGCAAATTGTCTGCCAAATACAGCAAGTCACTTTCAAATGATCACCAGCAGAATCACCCACCTTTTGGGGTTTGTTTCCTGGCTTCCATGCAGTTTTCTAAAAACTCTATATCATCCGTATCTGGGCACCTGGTGATACACGAAGTGTGATTCAGATAAAGAGCTAGCCCCATGTTAGTGTCTCCCTCCGTGGTGCGGACCTGGTGAAACCACGCCTCCGGGACGTAGAGCATGTCTCCTTCGTTTATTGTGACGTTGTAGATGGCGGCCTTCGAAATATTGGGATATTTGATAAGGTCTACGGCATCGACGTCTGCGGGACACATACCTGTGGAAAGGGTAATGAAATATCAAGGCTGCACTTTACAATATCTAATGTCATGGCCACTTCAAGGCTTTACATGATGCAGTCAATTTTTTTCAATTTTGTAACTAAATTTGAAACCCTTATGGTGTAAAGCTCCGCACCCCTCTTTTTACTTATAAAGGCTACGTGAAATTTACAGCCAAGGTTAGTCAGGGTTCTGCATGGTTACCCGTGCTAAGTAACATGTCTTTACAACAAGTCTGTGTTTTTTGTTCTCCACATCCGCCTTATTTTAAGTGAGTTACAGCATACGTCAATAAGCTGACATTTTAGTTCGTCGCATAGTCTTTCATATACTAGTACTTGGTATGGGATATGGGCTGACTGTACGTGTGTGTGTGTGTGTGTGTGCGTGTGTGTGTGTGTGAGAGGGAGTGTGAGAGAGAGAGAGAGAGAGAGAGAGAGAGGGGGGGGAGAGAAAGAGAGAATTCATTTCATACCTGCATGGTACGGGAACTCTTCTGTGTGGAGGTATTTTCCATCACTGGGCGGTGTCAAAATCCATTGGCGTTTGCCCCTTATTTGGGTATAGAAAATCTCATAGGGGTCGATGTGAACTTCTGTGTTGGTCCATCCAGTGTTAAAGAAAAGAATCATGTCGAGAATCTGGCAAAAGAGATCACACGATCATCAACTATCATAATTATAACATTGTAATTTGAGTTTATTTGAGGTGTTGGAGGAGGTTTATGTGCTTCCATAGCTTCATATAATAGGTAAAGCTACCATAACTTTTAATGATTCTCGTAATGGTAAACTCAAGCATACAATCAAAATATAAAAACTAGCAAAATTCTGTGGTAAGACTAAAAAAAAAAATAGAATAAACACCGTGAGATTCTGCTTGGGCGGAAAGACAGAGACATCACACCAGACATATTAATAACACAATGGGAGTGTATGAACGGAGCATGCTTAACATAAAGGGCTGCATTAATAATACGTATCATTAGAAGAAGGATGATCAAGTAATTGTGGGTGTCTAAAAACATTCATTCATCTTGAGTACTCTTAAGAAATGCTAGGACAGTGCTGATTATAATTACGGTCGTCCAAACAGTTGATCGATGACATGCAATTACACGCTTGGTGGTGAGGAGAAAAGCCTTATTTCACAATTATTGTGTTACTACTTATGTATGTGTATGCTTCCAAGCTGCTTTGCAGACACACTATCGTTTATGTGGATGGTTCGGGACGTCAGGAACATGTACTATTCTCGACCCGATTGGTCGGCAAGGCGAGACCAGATGTCGAGAAATAACATACAGCCCTAAGAAAAATTTCGTCAATATTTCGTGGCGCAGCCAACAACAACACATTCATTTTTAAAGAAAGGAACCTTTATGTTTATACCTCAACATATCTGCTCAAATGAAAATTTCATGATATGTAAAGGGGTGAAATCACCTGTTGAAAAAAAAATCAATTTTTCTGTTGCTCAGCTAGAGTGCATGAAATGTATGGTATCTCGTCGTCTGCTACGGAGAACGGCCATTCTAGCTTGCGAGTGACGCACGCGCGCAACCACTTCACAGGGCTTTTGTTTATGATTTATAAAATCACACCATTAACTCTATTACATGTGTTTTTTTTCTAATAATATGAATAACACCTTGCATAGAAAATATCAACAAAAAATTGTTTTACAATTTTTTTACGCTACAACATACAAGTCCAATCATTGCAAAACGATTGAGTAATATAATCCAGTATTAACAAAATCCTACCATCTTAACATAGGCGTCACAGCCAATGCAGCTAGGCATGGAGAAGTCTTGGGTCATCTCGGGGCATATGTATGCTGTCAAATAGAGTTTTTCTTTCCGATATGCACTGAAATATTAAATAAATGCAATAGATATTTTCGTGCTTTTTATCACAGAAATGAACAGGTGGCCATTTTTGGACGATGGCCGCTCCACTGAGAGGCTTAATGTTTCTTAATGTGCATGTGCAATATATGTTCTATTGAGTACAAACATTGGCCACGGCATGGGACTAAAATATGTTAAAAATTATGTAAACCAATAATAATAATAATAATAATAATAATAATAATAATAATAATAATAATAATAATGATGATGATGGTGATGATTTGTCAGATATCTTAATGCTTACAAATATAAAGTGAATACAGAATTATACTTTTTTCCTTTTTAAATATATGCTTTGCTGTCTGTTAAAACTTTCATCTTCACCAGCACACAACCCTTACTCAAGAAAGTCCGCCAAGGACATCAACATTTCTGCTGGATGGTGTTCATCTACAACCTTTTTTCTAATGGTATACAGGCAATGACCAAACTTCTCCTTTAAGTACTCTTCATTCTTCCACTTCTCCATGGCCGGCCAGTGTTTTAGTCCGCCTCGCACGATCACGGGAACAGACGGATATACATAGTCTTTATAAAACGTTTCTGGGTCCGGAAAGTGGTCGAGCTCAACGATCTCCGTCTCCTTTTCTACGTGGAGCCCAAACCGCTGCATGTGCCCCCTCGGCAAGGGTGTTTCACCGCTGGGAGTTGTATCGGTGTTAAGATGAACCTCTGTAGAAGTATACGGCGGATCCAAGCTCGGATTACGGGTGAACGGCAGGTAGATCCAAGCTACGGCGCACAGTACGGGGAAAACACCTATGCAAAGCTTCGTTTTGGTCTCCATTTTGTATAAACAGCCTTAGTATGTACATACAATATATAAAAGTCCATATGGTCGCCTGTCCAACACTAAGTTCCCTTGGTAAAGTAGGCCAAACAGCGCGATCGCTCGTTCCACGCAGTGACCGTATATCACTTATAACGTGCTTTCCTATTCAGCACTGCTTCTCATGGTTTTTGGAGGTGTGCTGTTTACTGGCCACGGGTCGCTGCATCTGAAAGAAAATGATAAGTAGGCCTCTGTTCATGCAAATGTAGAATAGCAAAATCACATAAAAGGACCACTTGAAGGGTGCACCACAAATTTCGTGTTTTATCAAAAAAAGGTAAAATAAAATTAAATACGCTTGATTTGTACGGTAGAGATACATATATTAAAATTGGTTATCCTGTCTGTTTAAGTCTACAGAAAATCTGATTAGTAAAGGATACGTTTCAAAACAACCCAACTCAATATGCAGAGATGAAGTGTCAGATGTGCTAAGCGGCCCGTGACGCAATACTTGGTGAAAGTGAGTGGGGCAGCAGCTGAAGCGCTATAATGAAATTTGGAAAGGTGTGCTAAAAGAAGTGGTAGAATTTTAGAGACAGAACCCACCTAGACATCTGAAATAAGATGTTTTCATGTAAAGTTCAAAAGAAGATACACATGGCTGTTATTTGAATTGTATGTATATCACTTTAAAACGGGGTTGGTGTGAGTTTGACTAACAAGTGAGGACTGGACGGCTTCCGTCGCGATTCTTGACTCCCTTTTGTGCAAAATCATAATTTCACCGGTATCAAGGATTGGAAAAATGTTATAAAGTTTTCCACCATTCTCATCTGTTTATAAAAAAGCTAGCAATACCCATCCCGACGTAAGCATGAAAACACAATATACTCCATCCCTTTACCAATTCAACTATTAATCGAAAATAAAAAAAGTTGATGGAAAGAAAAATCTAATATAATTTTATTATATATATATACAAAAATTATATATTGTTCTCCCTGTCTCTTTCTCTCTACCTCATTATTTGTTTTGAATGACAATGTTCGTGTGTAAAATACATGTTCACGTTTGTACTCCATGAGTTCTACAGACCCACATTTCTAAGAAAATTCGAAAATGTCTGATATTTATGTCTCTCTCATCCAGATTGGCCTGAACCCTATCAGTACAACGGGTGCCTTGGACATCCTGGAGGCCGTCGCAAAGGACAAATGTAACATAACGCTGCTGGACATGAAGGTGTGTTATGACGTCACACAGGATCGAATGACGTATATGACGTCATTGTGTGTACCATTGATTTAATATTCTTAGGTATTTTGATTAACTACATTACTTGATCGATTTTGTGAAATGTTATGATAAATAAAACACACTTTATTTCATCTGGCTATAAATTTCACGATCCTATTCTATCTTAACATTTTTGAGTAATTATTTACCTCATTTTAATTAACATGATACAATTTTTGTGCAGGGTGTCCCAGTCATCGGAGAGTTTGACTTCATGTCCTCTACTCTGAAGCAAAGCCGACCTGGATTCAGGTGTATTCATGGCGCCATTGTCCTCTTCCCTGACCCTCTCGGGGAGAGACTGGGTATGTTGCACCAGATGTTTGTTTTTGGTTACTTTTTAAAGGTCTGTTGTTGGTTGAATAAAGGATAGCATTTGCATATCGAAGAATTATAAAAAAAATTGCCTGCTCAATCATGCAGACACAACAAAGACGTGATTGTAAGCCATACCACAATAATGAATTCAAAGGTCAGCATTATTGAAGACACAAGGCAAAAGAATATTTAGCCGAACATTTAGATGGCGCGTTTAGTACCAACATCGTTCCATCAACCTCCTGCAAGCAGTACTGCTTTCAAATTCTTTTCAACAATATTAATGGAGAAAATTGTCTTATTCAGCTAAACCAGTGGACCCCATGCGGAAGGTCATTGAGATGATGACCAAACACAAGCTGCGGCCTCTGGAGATGTTCAAGAATTTCGACAAAGAGGGACTGTTTATGATGGGTCACGGAGGCTTCAAGAATAAACTGAAAGATGAAATGAAGGTAACGAGTCGAATCTTAGAACTGACGTGAGGACCTCAGGGACGCTTTTTTCCTGGACACTGTCCACGCCTCAGTATATTTATTATTTCGTCACTTACACTGTACATTTATGTCTTTCAGTCTTAAAGCAGAAAATAAAATTTAGAATAAATTATGACGCCATTTGCGTCTTTCTTAGAATTATAGAATTAAAATTTCAGTGTTTATAATTGTACCACCCCTCTTTAAGTTTTAAATAAATCATAAAATATGATATTTAATATAAAAAAGATTTACAAAAAGTTTCTGGTGATCACAATATAATATAATATAATATAATATAATATAATATAATATAATATAATATAATATAATATAATATAATATAATATAATATAATATAATATAATATAATATAATATACATCATGTGCAATATTATCTTGTAATTTTTAGAAAAACGAGATGTTCCTGACACGTGGAGAACTCCAGGAAGTGATTAACCTGATGGAGAACAAGGCAGGGTCAGAGTTCGGAGAGGAGGGCAATCTGAACTTTGTGTAAGTATGGTGATTGAATCGCCTCTGCGGGCAAAATATATGTAGTCTTCTGTTTTCTTGTGCTGAGCTTCGTGGCCCTGCTTGTGTGTGTGTGTGTGTGTGTGTGTGTGTGTGTGTGCGTGCGTGTCATGCATGCATGTTTGTTTGTGCATGTAGCCCTTTCTTTTAAACGTGCTGAAATGATGATTCCTGTCAAGTCATCTTTTGGGAGTTTTTTATATATATATCAGTGGTAAGATGTAATGATAATACCACAGAGTGGCAAACTATTAGACTATCCTTGATGTTTAAGCTTGGAAAGGGCGGATAGATTTCAATTTCAGTCGTCGTGTCATCGCCAAAATGTTAATATATAAAATACCAAGAAGTTACAACAGTTGTAACCCCTTGGAAATACGTAAGTGTACAGTACATATACGTGACGTCATGAATCCCTTATCTTTATTGAGCTTGAATTCAGGGGAATTGTTTACAAACGTCTCTTTTAATTTTTTCAGCAAACTGTCACAGGGTGTAAAAGAACAAAAAAGACAAGAACGCATGGAAAAATCAAAAGCTGCTGCAAAGAAAAAGAAACTGAGAGACTACCATGACAAAATCCTGGGCGCAGAGGAACCGGACCTGCCCCCAGAATCCCCGCCCCCTCCAGAGCTTCGTCCAATGAGCGCGGGTCTCCCAGACCGAGGTTATTCACCCAAGACAACCCGCAGTGGAAGTAAGCCTATCATAGGCTCGAGTACTCCTCGCATGTTCTCTCTACCACGGCCACCTGTGAAGATTCTGTCCATGTCAGACCCACTCGGAGTCAAAAAGGGAAAGAAGAAAAAGAAAAAGTGACGAAACGTAACGAAACGTCTTGTAGATATATTTTGTACACTGACTACTGCTGTGAAAACATTGAAATATTGCATGTATCATTATACACTGTAGCAGTGTACTTGCATGCACCTTGGTACTCGGAATTTGAAGAAAGTGTTGGATCTTGAGATTAGATGGCTAAGGAACAAGAGAGAAATTGTGTGAAGTCACATTTGTAAAGAGAAGCAAAGAGAATATGATTTTCATCGACGAAGACCAGAGACTCATTGTTTGGGTCTTTTTACGCTCGTATTGTGATATAAATGTTATTTTCGTCTAAATGTGTTTTGTATTTCTGCGAAATGATTATTGGCATGTCAAAAATAAATAAATAATTATTTAAAGAGGTTTCGGATTAGAAATGAAAAAGAGACCAAGCAATGAATTCCAGAAAAAAATGTTCATGTTCATTTTCAGACCAAGACCATTTTCAGACCAGAAAATTATTAGCGAAGAAAAATCTTCCAAGCTAAAACGCTTTGGAATATTTGATAATTTATTTTATCTGACGGGTGACATAAATTTTGTCTTAAAATAAAGACACAACTCTATAAAAAAAATATATATATATAAATTAATACATAACATCTGTACATGTATAGAAGAAGCAGCGAGCTTATTCTGGCAATTCAAATTAAGGCTTACATCTGTACTCGTAATACGCCTTGGACCTAATAGACCTACATGCAAACGAGTTACTTATATTCCATTTGTGTAAAAACATGTCTTTGTACACATCCTTTATAACTTTTTGGGCTTTCTTTCTCAAGTCTAAATTCGGCGGGAAATGCTCAATAATGACATCAGTGCACACAGCAACCGGGTAATTATTTTTCCTTAGCGTCAACATGAAATCCCTGTGTTCACCAACGCGTAACTTAACGTCCCATCCACCAACATCCAAAATGGCGTCCGTTCTCGCGAGGAAAAAGTTCGAGATTGCGTCAACCACGTAGCACTCCGGATAGCATCTCACGCGATCATACGCCATGAGTTGATACTCGTTTATGTATGTCCTGAGTACGTTAAACTGGTCGGCATGCACGCGAAATATCCCATTGATAGCCAACTTTATTCTGTTTTCTCTAATGAAGCCCCCAACAACTACTAAATTAGTGTGATCTAGAAGCTCCTTCAGTTTTCGAATGTTTGTTTCCTTGTCGAATATCATGTCATCGTCCAAGAGTAAGAAGTACTTGGTTCGAACAATAAACAGGCCGACATTTCTACCGTGTGATATTCCAGCGTCTTTTTGAACTTGTATGTAATATACCTTGCCACGTGTCGTCGACGTGTAATGGCGCCATTCGTCGTACTCTTTCCGAAAACTTTCATTCCTTCTCAGAAGCTCTGGATTTGCCTCATCGACTACAATAATTTTGAGATTTTCATAAAATTGAAAGATGCTTTCCACCAGACGCTTAGTTACTCCGAGTCTATTGGCGGTTTTTATTATCACAGTGACTGCGTCCTCCAAAGATATCCTCTCTTCAAATTCTGCCTGCACTGCAGTTTTAACGGGCACCCTGCCCTTGTTTAATAAGCAAGCTCCAAATTCTGGACAATACGGTGTCATTGTCCAGTTATAGCCAACAATCTTAAAGTAGCCCTCGTTCTCTGCCCTTCTCACCATTTTCCGACACGTTTCTTTTGCTAGTGAAATGAAAGAGAAACCATAATTATAATTCTGTCACGAACAGACTCTGTTCGTAACAGAAACGACAATATAAAGAAATTTTTTGATGCAACACTTTTTTAAGTCAGCTGCAACACTAATCAGTTGGGTTTAATATATTATTTTAATAACGCTGCTTGTTTATGATTTTTACGATCATCAATAGCACTAGCAATACAGGCGTGTCTCAAACCGTAGGCCTACCTGGTTTATGTATTCTGCTTTTAGATCTATATATCAACTGTCCCCCATATTTCAGACTGACGAGAAATACCACGATGACCAGCAATGTCCATGTTAGTGATTTAATACATGCCAATCTGGAAAATAGTGCAAAAATGTAGAAGAAATAAACTGACAAAAAATAAAATAAAATAAAAAAATAATTATAAAATAATAATTTCATCAAAACAGCACTACACAGTAGCGTAAAAATGTTGATATATGTCTTTTTTTTAATGTCAGAGCTTGTTTCCATTCTTTCCAAAGAATATAATGGGGCTGATATCGAGAATATTAAGATAAAGTGAAAATTGAAACAAGTGCATGTTTTAAGGGAAAACACTTGAATAAGAATATTGCAATATATTTACACGAGAAATATTGAAAGATGAATTGAGTCAGCAGCTAGGACGGCATGCCACATGCACCAGTGAAACAGATGATATAAAACGCTTGATAAAAGTTTCAGAAGTCAGGCAAATCCAAATAGAGAAATGTCCATTAACGGTTCCTAAGAGACCACACAGTAGGGCCTGAAGGCTCCACCGCAGGGCATTGCAATTCCCATTAAGCTATACAGTCCCCCCCCCCCCCATTTTCAGGTCAAAATCACTCTTAACCTCAAATAAAACATCCATGCAGACTACATTTAAATTCTTTGCTGTCATTAACGCAAAGCGTCACTGTGAATCTTATTTCAGCATGTCAATGTCTGTATACGAGTAAAGTACATGACACTGCTAACACGGTGAGACTATATACACTGTACATCCAGTGGCAAATTGAGCTTTTAAGCGGTTATAGTCTAGATGACGTCATGGAACGACCAAACTGAACTACATGTAGACTGTAATATACTACTGTGCAGATGATGGTTGGACCACATGCAAAATAATAATAATAATAATAATAATAATAATAATAATAATAATAATAATGAAAGTGTCTTTGTCTTTGTAAGTGCTGCATATACATGTATGACTGCAAAGACATACTTTTGTAACATAATCCTGTTGCATTGTATGATATGTCTCCAGGCTGAGAATCTGCGGTGCTACAAAGACGGCGGTCCGACTTTCTTTTCTGCGAAGCAAGTTAATTTGATTTTACTTTATCTAAAAATCGAATATTCAAGATAAAATGATCTGGATGAAAAATTAAACCCTGCTACTACTCAATGTACCTTGTTAAGGGGCCTTCTCCGTACCTTACCAAACACAAAAAAAATCAAACCGATTAAAAGACACGGTGAATATTGTCCACATCTTCGAAACGAGAGAAAGAAAGAAAAAAAAAGAAAAACAGAAAATGCAAGAGAACCACGCACTCTGTGCTACAACATACCTGCACCGCTTCATTTTGCAAGAAGGAGACATCTTAAGAGGCAGAGTAGTTTGGAATACTTATAGTCTAGGTATCCTAGGATACCGTGCAATGTCTGTAATGGCCTTAACTACCAATAATCATACTATTTATTTCGAATAACGACGGGGTGTCGTTTCCCCAAGTAATTTCTTGCTTAACTGATGATAAATTAGTCACTGCTTGGAAATGTGTCCGCCATTACTTCGCTCATTATCGGCAACACGTTTTAATGCATGTTTTTAAAATAATTGTATTTGGATAACCAGTTTGTGTTCTTTTTGACAAACTTAATGCATTTAGTATTCAGGAACTTGGATTTATTTATTTATTTATTCATTTATTCATTTATTTATTTATTTATTTATTTATTGTGGGGGGGGGGGATAGCTAAAAAGGAATAAAGAAGAAAAAAGGAAAAAACACGATCAGACACTCATATATTATCAGGTCAGGTGTATTTAATCGGGATAAAAATCGTAGCCAAATAATTTCAAGTCAAGATCATATATGTCCTTTAACCGGTCCTTTTGCTCTGCAGTCAAAAGTTTAAAATATTCTCTCACATGGCCCTTCGTCTTTCTTTTTAACTTATCAGGGTAGCGAATCGTTCTGCTAAGGTTCAGCATCTTCGTAATGGCTTCGATGTCGTCGTCCAAGGTTTCTACCTTCCCAATCAGGTCATAGGTCAACGCACAAGGGGCACACTGGCTCGAGATGGGAAGCCAGTGGTTGGCCTTGAAAAATATTGGCTTCCAGTCCCCGAGCTTTGTGTGGTAGTCGTAGTCAATAATAAACTGTACGTAAGACTTGAATGGAATCAGGGCAGTGAAATTCAAGGGTTTTGGTCTTCGTAGAGGAGGTAGTTTATATAACTTTCTTATAGAACTGTATACTTGCCAGCTTGCCCCGGTCACATCGTCGTTCTCAAATATGTGCAACTCAAATGACATTCTGTAATAGGACACCAGACGTTCGAACGGGTGCCTCACTATGAGAAGCTTCTTGTACGAAGAAACGATACGAGATGCGTTTCTGGGGTCCGTCTTTCGCGTGAGGTATTTGTAAGTGTCCAGCCCCTCTTGCCAAGCTTCCTTGGGGTCCTGCTCAGCGAGGTTGAGCACCTCGCTGTTGGAGTCTCGAGCCTGCATGAATATCCTTTTTATATTGGTTGATCCTGCCTTGAAGACCTGGCAGAAGAGAACGCGGAACTGATTCTCGATGAGAAACTGAATCGGAAGTGTAATGTTCTTGAGAGCTTGGAAGAAATCTGGGCGACCATCTTTGCCATAGAGTTGATCACAGACCTCTTTTACTCTCTCAGTTCTTTTCTTGTAGACGTTCGGTTGGCGTAAGCGCAATAACCAAGGACCTGCACGAACCATAAGAAGTATGATTAAAAAAAAAAAAAAAAAAAAAAAAAAAAAAAAAAAAAAAAAAAAAGCGTGTATGCGTGTGTCTGAGAGAGAGAGAGAGAGAGAGAGAGAGAGAGAGAGAGAGAGAGGTTGGGGAGGAAAATGAGCAACTTGATTTTTATCTCGGCTTGGAAAAGCAATATATTACGACAGACACTTGAAATTACACAGACATCAGAAATACCAAAATGAGACGCTCATAAAAATGTGAAGTAGACAGACCCCCACGTGACGGCTCTTACCTGAGCTTGCAAAGCAGTGAAGAACAATAAACATAAACAGGGACGCCAGCAAGCAGTAAAACAGTGCTTTTGCCAGCGAAGCCATTGGGCACTTCTTCATCCTGCATTAAGTCAACCTACGGGTTAGAGAAGCACGCATATGCAATCTATATATAATATAAAACTCCAATAAAGATGGCGTCCCTTTGCTCCATTTTCAACGAACATTATCTTTCACGCTCTGTTGGACTATTTGCAAGCTAGCAGAGGTAACAAACGTGGAAAGCTTGGCTCAAGTTTTATCAAAGTCAGTGTGACACATTTTAGGTTAGTAAATTGGTACTTACTGCCGAGGTGAGAAAGAATTTATGTTAATTCAAGTCGGCTTTGGTATTTCAGCACTACGTATGGGGATTTAATTTTGTTTCGTTAAAACGTGAATATGGATGTGGGGGGGGGGGGGGGGTAGATATTCCAGTAAAGCCTAGGTCCCAACCGACCGTACGGGCTGCTACGTGAGGTCTACGGCCAAAAAAAAAAAAAAAAATGGGGAAAACGTGGAAGTTTGTGCGTGAGGAGCACGTCCATCGTGCGACTTTTGGAGGACGCAAAGAGCACGTAGAAACTTTTCACCAATTACTTGATTCCTTCCCTGCGATCTAGCTACGTCCTAGCCGGACGCAAGGAACCTAAAAACCGTGCGTCCAAAACGTAGTTGGGACCTAGGCTTAAGTGATATTATCTGCGGTGTTGTACACTTTTATATATAAACGATCGAGTTTAAATATCTCTGATCTCATCTTTTGTTAAAATCATAGCGAAATTACGTTTTTGCAAAAGTAAATTTCCTTAAAATAAAAGATCGTTGTTCGGGATTTTTTTTCGATATTCAGTGTTGAGAAAATGGAAAACCGTGTTTGTATTTTGGTCAAAAAATTTTACCTTTGAAAATAAAAACATTTTTATCAAGGTACTGACCTCCTTTGACGATAAACCAACCACATTCGTACCGCGCTTTACTTAGAACTACCAGTATTGCTAGTTGTCTAATGCAAGTGCCTTCGTGTCTTCATTATAGATTAGAAGACATTATCATTGCAATATGTAACTTGAAGGTAATAAACTTAATAAAAAATAAATAATTGCCAAAACCGGAAAAGACTATTATACAAAACAGAAGAAACCAAAAGTACCTTGATCAGCACGGGAGGTCTTTATTTTCATATAAGTACCAAGTTCACGTCACGCCTACATAGTTACATTATCATGAAGAAGCAAGATAAAAAATAGACCGTTACCATGGCGCTGTTTAAATATTTACAGGTATTAAAACAAATATGATACCTGGTGTTCAATATACCTGAGAATGTGACCGGCATCTCTAGGGCTGATATATTCTAATTAAACATTAATAAGGTGAGAAGACGTTTAATGGATATATGCATTATTAGCCAGTACATTGTAAAAGGGAAGCTCGCTGATATAATTACTTAACATCATTAAAAACGCAAGGATCAGAAAATAACTTTCTGTCGTCAAATATGGTATGCATTTACTTATTTATTTTTTACCTAACATTTATGTGGAAAATTCTATATCTTATGCTTAAGGCACATATAAATGTTTTAAAATTTTCTTTTGGATTGTACATTTTTTTCTGATCCGCGCGTTTCTGTTAATACTATTTTATATATTTTTATATAGAGTCTTTCTCTGTTACACCCTTTCACAACCTTAGTAGTCTCTCAGCTAAGCCGATGCCTTTTTTGTTGCATCCTTTCACATTTTAGGAGTCTCTCAGCAGAGCCTATACGTTACACATTTGATTACTGAAATCTTGAAAATCTCTGTGAATGATTAACACAAGTATTCTGCAACATTATATATATATATATATATATATATATATATATATATATATATATATATACACACACACACACACTGCTGTTGGAGTAGTGTATTTCTCATTATCTATATCAAATTCTATTTGCAGTTCTTTCTCGCGTACCTAACAGTATTAAAAATCTTCATTCTAATTTTGAAACTGTTTCATAACGCAAAGTCTTTAAAATTACTTCGTTGCAATTACTGTTTCCACTTTGTGCGCTTTCAGAGTATAATATTGCCTTTATCATAAACGAATCAAATGCCAAAGAAATTGCACATAATAATAATAATAATAATAATAATAATGACAACGGTTAGGTGGGATATTGCTTCATCTTAGAAACACTCATTTTGATTCAGATGTCAGCTGAGTGATAACCTCAATTCTATAAACAAGTTCACAATGCAGAAAGTTTATCAACAGTAATTAACCAGAGACAAATATGTGAATATCTAGAGACAGATCAACCTGTGGCCCTGGTAGAGGGCGCCTTTTGATTATAAAAAAAAACTTCATTATATCTTAGACTTAACAAGTGTTAGCAAGTGAAGTACTCAAAAGTACTTTAAAACAGGTGCCGAGCTATTAACTGCTTCTACTGTGCTACGTAATATAAAAGTAAAATGATTAACAAAGGTGGCTCCCGAATTCCCTTTTCTATTATAACAAAATGATGAGTGAAGCTTCTTTCGAATGGCTGCTGAAAATCGCCTCATTTCGTAAGAGATAAAAACAAAACCAACATAAATATACACAAGTACATAAATAAAAAGTGGGTGCATTTTGTTCTTACTTCCTTGATCTTCCAATTATAAGGTACAGTTTATAATGCTGATTTCCAGAGTTACAATGCATATTAATTCACATAACTAGAAAGATACAAAACTGAATATTTTTTTTTCAACCCACAGCATACTATATGCATAGATTTCTTGATGTCAGTAGATATTGGAATATTCTGTCATAATTTCACAACATGATTGCATCAAGGGGTTCTTACATCATTTCTTACATAATTGCACAGAAGTTCCATAGGAAAGAGGTGAGAATGCAGCAAATCGGGGTGGGGGGGGGGGGGCACATGAAAAACACATATTTAGAAAGATACCCTAAACTGACTCTTTTGAACAAGACAAAAAGTTAATTCCATAAATCAGTGTCCTAATGTGTTTTAACACATCAAAATATTTATACCAAATAGCTATATATCTCTAAATTAAAGCTAAATAAAAGCTAACAACAGGGCTGTTTTAACAAAAGAACATTAGCCCAAAAATTGGTCTAAACTTTTAGAACACAAGAACTTGGTCTACTTCAGTGTCAGTGAGATAAATTCAGAGTAATTCACTCAAGTATTGATCTCTAACAAAGTTCATGGTTCTATTACTAAAACTTTTATGTGGACTATATCTGGTG